GCTGGGACCACCGAGGAGAAACATGACCAACGTGCTCATGAGGCAAGTAGCAGAGAAAACAGCCAGCAGCTAAGCAGCAGGAAGCTCCAGCCCAAGATGTGCAGTGGCTGGTGGCAGCACCTCAGCACGCATTGAGTCTCTGAGAGTGGCTGGAAAAGGGATGGGCCAAACAGGTACTGGGCACCCACTGCCCTTTTCTTTTTTAAAAGGCTTTTGGACATCAGAGTAGGAGTCGTGATTCATCATAGCTTGGGCTCTGCAAGGACAGGTAACTGCTCTTTACATTTATTTAATGTTAGAAAATATTTCCATAGGCAAGCTAGTGTTATCTGATCAGCTTGGATCACATGTGAATTTGTCAGTTAATACAAGTACTTTAGGTTTAAGACTTACACATATTCAGGTAGAAAGGTAACTTCAGTGAGTGCTAGTAGTGCAGGTGTCACCACCACATCTGCTGTATTAATGTTAATACTAATTTCCATCCTCCCTCCTGACTCCTTTCTAGTGTCTGTTCAGAAAGGTTTCAGGGAGCCTCTTGCCAGTTTGGTATTTTTTGACTTGTGTTTTTTTTTTTAACTCGTAGTTTAAAAGTTATTTCAAATTAACTTGCGCCATCAGGATATATCTGTTAAGTTCTTACAGTCTGTAGTCTGGTATTGCTAATTGATCTAGCCACAATTCTTGATATGAGCAGAATGCATTGTATCTCAAGGGGGTGAAAACACTAAGCATGTGGAGAGACAGAATTACTCTGTACTTGTTTTCTTCACGGAGCTAGTGGCGCCAGGGATATAGCAGTGTAAGTGCCTGCCTGGCAAGTGCAAGGTCCTGAGTTGTTTGATTCCTGGTACCAAATGTGTATATATATAATGGCATCTGAGAAAGAACCATGCTACCTGGCTAGAACTGTAGGAGCGATATTGCCCAAGTCACTTTCTAAAGGCCCAACACTGTCAGTTGTACACAGTAGCAGTGTGCAAACTAGTAAAGATGGGGAGACACTGGAAATTTCTCTGCTTCTCATGGTGGCCCTCATCCTTGTCAGGCTTTTCTCAGCTTCTGCTACTCTTTTGGGCATTTAATCATGAAGTTACAGCCACAAAAACACCTCTTTGCTTTGTGTCTGTAAGTACTGTCTTCACTGGCATGGGCACCTTTCTGGTGACCCTATGGGGTATGTTTTGTGGTACCTGATGCACTGCAATAAACAGGCACTTACATTTGTGTGGTCATGGGCAGGCAGAAATACTGTTTTTTTTTTTTTTGATGCTACTTTTCAAAATCCACTCTTGTTTAGTTTCTTTTTTAAGGCAGCAGTGCATGAGTCAGTTTCAGGTTCAGAACTCTGCTTCCTTTCATCAGCCATAAAACACAAAAACGGTAACTGAGCCAGCAGGGATGGTGGTGCATGCCCAGAATTATAGCACTTGGGAGGCTGAAGCTGGAGGAGCAGAAGCTCAAGCCTAGCCTGGGCTCAGAATACAAAAATAAAAGGGCTAGGCATATAGCTCTGTACAAGGGCTCTGGGTTCAACAGTCTCCAGTGTAAAGATAAAAAAAGATCACAGTGGTGGTAAACATATGGCATTTGTTTTGCTTTTTCTTTAAGACAAGATGTTAGGGGCCAGCCAGTAGCTCAGCGGATTAAAGCACCTTCGCAGGGGCTGGGGGTTCAATCCCGGGACTCCTGTGCTGGCCCCGCCCCTGGGGTGCGCTGAGAGGGCAAATGAGACTGGCCACCGTGGTGTGCGCCTGTAATCCCAGCTCTTGGGAAGTTGTAAACAGGCAGATCACTTCCTATCTAGTAGTGAGACCCTGAATACCCTGTAGACCCTTCCCTAAAATACAGAAGGAAAAAAAAGACAAAAGATGTTAATGTATGAGTTGTTTTTTCTAAACTGTAACCTGAGTATTGAGTATAGGGTTGCACTTTAGGCACTGTCTCTAAAAGAGACACCTTCAGTGGCATAAAGGGGAAAAAATTGGAGGGCGTTATTGTCTTAAGATTCTGAGGAAGAATTTATAGTTTGTTTTATTGAATAACCATTAAGGTTGGCTTGGTGATGTTAAACAGAAGACTTTTTCTTCCCTGCAGTGCTGGGGACCTGACCAGGGGACCCATGCATGTTGGGAGGTCACTGCTGAGAACATACCCTGTGGCCCAGAAGGGACTGTTAAAGCTTGTTCTTTCAGTTCCTTTTCCCACTTTGTGACCTCTGTTGTCTCTCCAGCAGCTTTCCAGCTTCAGCCAGTTCTGATGCTTGCCACTATCATAGCATGCACTTAGGAAATGGCGTTATATAATTTTACACTACTTTCATTTTTGTGAGTTTTTAAAAAACACTCCAGCCTCAAGATTTTTTTAGGAAAACTGATTTTTTAAACCCTGAAGTCAGAGTTTTGGTGGAATACATTACCTCTCATTATAACGCAGTCATTCTTAGAGGCATTAGGAATTTCAGTATGTATCTTTTAATTATGTTGTCTAGTTTGGGTTCTTTTTTCTTTTTTACCTTTTGCAAAGACATTTAAGTAAAATCATACCAAGATACACAAAAATGAAATTGTCCAAACCTTCTTGTAAAGAAAAAAATCATTAAAGCATATACATAAAAATATTAGCTATGGAAGAACAAAATTAAATAGCATCTTATTTCACAGTAGAAAGAAAAAAAAGGACCAAGTGTGTAAGAAACTAGAGTAAAGGACTGAAAGAAAAGATCTGTCCTCTTTGAATTTTATACTTAGCAAACATACCTTTGAAAACTAAAAGTAAGA